AGTATGCCAGTCGGAGGCACATTGTGTGATCTGTACGATTGGATATATAGCTCATCAATCTAGGCTAGCACACGAGTCGAAGTCACCTAGTGTGACCTATACGACAGACTGGGTATAAATATGTACGCTCAAGTGCTACGATCACGTGAAGGCTGTGTGATAAATCACAAGTCACCTATGAGTCAGAACCACCTATTGTGGTCTGTACGACAAGTTGGCACCACACTTGGATCCAAGGTGAGTGTGCGGTGCGGGAGGTGAACAATCACGTGAAGGCTGGCCCCGGCCCCGGGCGGGAGCACTAATACTGAGGTGCAGCCATGATGAGCTCTAAATGAATATATGCATGCTCATATAATTCAACCATTTCAATCACATAATAACTCACCTGAACTTACCTGCGCCCTCGTAGGATCATTTGGCATAATCTCAAATCTCATCATAATGCAATATTTAAATATAACACCTTTAAATCATGACATGCTATACATAACTCAGTTCAAAGCATTTGTGGAAACTATAAAGTTTATATACACACACACACACACACTGTAAAAAGGAAAAAGACCCACTCACCAGAGGTCTACACTACAACTTCCTAGCACGAATATTGAGGCGTCACGAACGATCGGCGCCTAAAACAATTATCAAATCACGTCTCAAAATTCTTATCTATAGAACACGTAACCTACATATCCTATTCGGGAAGATCCATATGTTGGATTCCCGATTCGTCAGTTTCTAATATCCTCAAATATTACGTACTATAACGTATCAAAGTTTGGTGACGATCCAACAGTTGGATCATCGATTGCTATAATATTCAAGTGCTGGACCTTAATGGAACTAGCTTCAAACGAAGGAAATTCATCAATCAGACTTCACGAACTGAATTGGAGAATCAAATTTAGCCTAGGAAGGTCAGGAGATGCCTCCACCCACGCGCCGTTGAACACGGCGGTCGGCCGTCCCGACTCGTCGAAAAAATCAACTATTTCTAAAAATTCTCAAACTTCACAGAAATGAAGACCTCAGTGAGTAGAGCAAGTTTTATACCTATGGCCAAGTCCAATTTGGCTGGGAAAAGCCTCAAATCGCCATGAACTCGCCAAGACCCTAAATTTGGGTGTGCTTTGATTAAACCTCAATTCAAACTCTGATGCCCCCAAACTTTCTTAGGCTTGTTCCTGGGTTCAAGGTGAGTGGTTTGATGGTGGTAATAGTTGACGATGCTTTCATGTTGGGTCGATCTCCGCCATGACACCTTCAAAACCCACAGGTTCTGTTCTTCCTCAAAACGGGGTCAATCTAGGTGGATTTTGGGTGGAAATGAACGAGAAGAGATCGGGTAGATGTTTAGTAGGGGTGGTAGGACGTGATTCACCGAAAAAATCGCCTGAATGGCATCGAAAAGCATAGATGCCGCCAGGTCGGGTACGGGTCAAGGGGAACCCGACAGGTTCCTCTCGTTCTTCCCTTCTCTCCTTTCTCTCCTTTCCCATTGGTCACTCTTTTCTCTTTCCTCTTCTGAATGGGCGTCACACCCTTCATTTCCCTCATTCATCTCTTCTCCCAACTATATGTTTCTTCTTTTATTCAATCTGGGCCACACACATGGCTTTCTAGATTTTGCTCCAAAAATCTGGAGCCTTCTAGAAATTAATCAATTTACTATTTTGTCCTCGACTTCGATTGTTAATAATTCCTTCGTTATAACTCCAAATTACGTTCTGTTTACGCTCACACGTTCGTAGCAATGAATATTATCCAAATACACCAAGAAAATGATTCTTACGTGACATGACAAGGTGGTCAACAAAAGTCAATGTCTTTGCCTCGATGGGCATTTTCGTGAATTCACATTTAAAAATTATAAAGACTATAATTTTTGGGGATGGGTTGTTACAAGGTCCGACTCGGTGAGTTTTGGTTCAACGATTTTCAGGATGATTTACAACGTTTTAGGACTCGGGGAAGCTTCTACTCAACTCCCCAAGGTCTTTGGTGAAGGTTTGAAGGAGAATCAACCTCGAAACACAAGGTTTCGAGAAGTCAGAGTTTCGACTGTACCTTTCGAGCCATTTTCAGGCCACCTCCGTCTAGTTTTTAGACCTCCAAAAGGTACAATCATGTTCTTCTCTTCATAAGCTTCATTTCCATATAAATGTTTTGAAAAAAGGTTGAGAAATGAAAAAGATATGAAGGTTTGAAATTTTACCTAGAAATTGGTGAAAATTTCTAGATTCTGATGTGTTCAGACGGCGACGATCGGTGAAGACTACTGGAGAGGACGACAGAATATTCCGTCAAAGTTAACGGAATATTCTAACAATGTCAGGTAACGCCGTTAACTTCCGTTAGTTATTTAATAGAATATTCCTAACGAACGTCAGGGATTTGGCCTGCGCATAAAGCGCGTATTGCTGTGCCCTAGCCGACACATCCGGCCTCCATTTTGCTTCCACTTTGCTTCCATAAAAGAAGAGAAAATAGATGCCATGAAATCTCCCTGCTCAAAATCAGTCCTTGTTCCGATCACCAGCAGTTGGTTTACTCCCACTTTGCTTGTTTGATTTTGATCAGATTTGCATTTCTGAGATGATCACTCTAGTTGTTATAATCTTTGTTAGTTTTGCAATTTCTTCATGTTTGTGAATTGAAAACAGAGTAGAACAAAAAACCCAATTGTGATTTGTGCATTGGTGTTATAGTCTTTGCAAGTTTTTCAATTTCTTCATCTTTGCAAGTATGGCCTCCATTTTGCTTCATGTCAATTTGTGTAGGTCCGTGACATCGAGTAGATTGATTTCGTATATTCAAACCCTATGTTTGAGCAATCTACGGAGGTTTTATTTAAGTTTCCGTTTATGTGTCATTAACCTAAGTTAATTAGTAATTTCACATATAGGGGAAACGTATCCCAAGCACGTACGGGTCAAGTAAGGCTCGAAGGCTTCATTTCGACTGTGTATCTGTGAATGGGAAGTTTATTTTTATACCTATACATAATTATAGTTTCCATAAATGCGTATTTAGTTCATGTTTACGCTTATATTGCCAATTATCGTTATTGTGATATTAATTGTGATAAATGCTATGCTCATCTTACTACACCCTGGTGTTAGTACTCCGCCCAGGACCAGGGCCAATCCTTCACGTGTATGTTCACATCCGCACCATTCGCTTGCCTTGGATCCAAGTTAGGTGCCAATCCTGTCGTATAGATTGCATTAGGAAATTCCTAACTCATATGTGACCATGCCTCAACGCCAATCTTCACGTGATCGTAGTACTAGAGCATATTGATTACATCCAGTCTTGTCGTACAGGTTGCATTATGCAACTTCGACTCGTGTGCTAGCATAAATAGATGAGCAATTGATTATACTTGATTATCACATGATTATATTACTATGGCATTTGATATATCATGACTTGGCATATTTCTGGTTATATTGCTGTTGTACTTTTGTTTACATACTCACGTAGTATGTTTTACGGAAACTATACTTGTTTTACAGCAAGAGGTTCTATGTTCGAAAATAAAGGTTTTCTTACAAACGTTGTTTTGTTGACCCACTCAACTTTGTTTTCGTCCCTCCAGGTTTAGTATTTGCGCTTATGTGTAAACGAGGATTCAGGCAAATCTCAGGAGATGGTTATCTTCAGTGGTATACCCTCATCCTATTTACTATATTGTCTTATGCTCTGACATTACGTGTGAAATGGGTTCAATCCCGCTCACCCGCACACTCTTTTGACTAGGCACTTTTAGGTTTAAATTTATTCACATCCTTTTTCCACTACACTACACTTTATGGCTTCGTCACCCTCCAGGTGTCGGCCAAGTGGACATTCCAGGTCAGAGTGTGTCATCCTCTTTATTCTCTAATTGGTTGCCAAACGCCACTTAGCCTTTGTGAGAAAAGTAAAGCCAAACTCATCATAATCCCCTTCTCCAATTCAAACTAAAAATATCTCTAATTACATATGAACATGAAATACTATTAGCTAGTTTTTGAAATAATTTGTAGCAAACAGAATTTTACAGTGAAACTATTTTACATAACGAAAGTAGGTTCTTGCATAAAAGAAATATAATAAATCGTTACGTAAAAATAATTACCCAACATACACCCACATATATATATATATAACCTTTTTTTTTTTTTTAAATACGGGGTATTACAGTGAGTATTAAAATTCTAAATCAATTATTCATTTTTATTTTAAAAAATTATGTAACTGACATGTAAATTCATTATTACATTAATGCTAGGGACTTGGATCAAAATCTGAAAACTAATAAAGTTTCATTCAATAAACATTAGTAACTTGGGACCGGATACTAATTTTTCCTATAATCAAACCATGATAAAATTGAAAAGAAGCCCATCTCTTTGGAGTTTACGTTTGTTTAGCTTTCTATGATGAGGGCATTTGGGTCTATTTATGTGGTCCTTTCGCCATATTTGAAATTTTTAATAAAAATTGATATTTATGAATTGGGATGCTAAATTGTGGCTCAAAATGATTAAAACTTCATTTTCTCCCCTCTTTTAATCTATTGTTGTATAAACGTCATTTTTGAAACCGTTCATTCTTCTTATCATTATACAAAGATTATTTTAAAAAAATAAATAAATAAATAAAATAAAATAAAATAACTAATTTGATTTGGAAATTGCTTAATCATACATACGAATAAAAAAAATAATGGTCATTTATCACGAGAATGCTACTTGTTATCATAACCTTCGATTATTCGGCACATATGAAGAAATTAACAGTCTCTGAATTAAATGAATTTATCTAAGCGTAACTTTCGATTATTCATGTTATCATGTACTGTAAAATAATGTTACGTTACTAAAAAAGAACGAGGGAAGTATTGTATTATCTAAAAATCAAGTCAGCCCAGCCCAAACCAACCCAATCTGATTGCATGCCTTTGGGTCGGGCCAACACATAGCAAGTTCAGGAAGTTCATTGCAGATTGCACAGGAAGCAAGAAGGATCCGAAATTAGGGCGGAGTTTTGAGGAAGAAACATCGGGTCAGGCACTTGACCGAAACCAACAACGTGTCAAGTGACGGAGCCCTGTCGCTCCTAGGGCCACGGCGGCTGATAAAACTGTTCCAACTTCCAACGACGCTAAATTAACCAAAACTCTCTCTCTCAAGACGCAGAGCAGACATGGGAAAATCTGAAAAAACTGAAAGAGCTAAAGAAAGAAGAGAAAAGAGACGCCAGGAAATCTCCCTCCTCAGAACCATTCCTTATTCCGATCACCAGCGGTTGGTTTGCTCCCACTTTGCTTGTTTGATTTTGCTCAGATTTGCATTTCTGTGATGATCACTCTAGTTGTTGTAATCTTTGTTAGTTTTGCAATTTCTTCGTGTTTGTGAATTGAAAACAGAACAGAACAAAAAACCCAGTTGTAATTTGTGCATTGGTGTTATGTTCTTTGCAAGTTTTGCAATTTCTTCATGTTTGTGAATTGAACACAAAAAAATAAGAAAACCCAGTTGTGGTTTGTGCATTGGATGTTATGATCTTTGCAAGTTTTGCAATTTCTTCATGTTCTTGAATTGAACACAAAAAAGTAAGAAAACCCAGTTGTGGTTTGTGCATTGGATGTTATGATCTTTGCAAGTTTTGCAATTTCTTCATGTTCTTGAATTGAACACAAAAAAGTAAGAAAACCCAGTTGTGATTTGTGCACTTGGGAGTACATGATGTTAACATAGACTCTAGCTGTTATAATCCTTGTTAGTTATGCAGGTTTTTCATGCTCATGAAATATACGCAAGAAGACGGAAAACCCCTGTTGTAATTTGTGCATTTGGGAATGCATGATCTTATAATAGACTCTAGATGTCATAATCTTTTTTAGTTTTGCAACTTTTTCACTCTCATGAATTAAACGCTAGAAACCGGAAAAAACCCAGTTGTTATTTGTGCACTTGGGAATGCATGATCTTATCATAAACTCCAGAGGTTATGATGTTTTTTTAGTTTTGCAATTTCTTCATATTCATGAATTAAACACAGTAAAGAGAGAAAAAAACCAGTTGTGATTGTTATTTGGGAATGCATGATCTTATCATAGACTTTAGCTGTTCTCATCTTTGTTTTCACACTCATGAGTTAAACACAACAAAACAAAAACCCAATTGTGATTTTTGCATTTGGGAATGCATGTATGTTTGTATAGGTGGTGGTCTGCAGAGACTGTTGCGGTGGTGACTGGGGGTAACAGGGGGATTGGATTTGAGATTTCGAAGCAGCTTGCGGCACATGGAGTTACTGTTATACTCACATCCAGAGACCACAGTGTGGGGCTTGAAGCGGCTAAGGTCTTCCAAGAAGGTGGTCTCAATGTGTTTTGCCATCAGCTCGATGTGCTAGACACGGCGTCCATCACTGAGTTTTGTGACTGGTTGAAAGAAAACTACGGTGGGTTGGATATTCTGGTGAGTGATCAGATTTTTGGGCTTTCGATATTATCTGTTTCATTCAATTCCTAGCTATACTTTGCCATTTGCCACATGGGTTCTAATTTTGTGCAATTATTTCAACCCCTTTCAATTTTGCAGATAAACAATGCAGCTGTTAATTTCAATCAGGGTTCTGATAATACTGTTGAGTATGCCTCTCAGGTTATTACAACAAATTATTATGGCACCAAAAACATGATTCAAGCAATAATCCCCTTGATGAAACCTTCAGCTGCTGGAGCTCGTATTGTTAATGTGAGCTCAAGATTGGGTAGAATAAATGGCAAGCGGAATGTAAGTGAATTTGTTTCTTTTCTTCTTTTCTTTTGTATTCGTAAATATTCATCCTTTTTTATGTATGTCCATGAATGTCTCGAGTGGGGGAATTGGAGAAAGTTGTGCTCAGGGATAACTAAATCATTTTTTGTTTAAGTTAGTGAGATCTTTGCTTGCATGCTTGAGAAGAAATAACCAACCAGTTGTGTTTCTGAAGGGCCGAAAGTTGATGGATTTCAAAATAACCCATATAGGTTATAGAAGTTAAGAAGAGGGTTTGTGCTTGTCTTAGTGCTAGCAGAGTGTCAGGAGCCCTTTTGACCAAAAGTTTGAGGACCTGCCTTTATAATTTGTCCCAATGATCAAATTTCTAGGAGGGTTTATAGTTCACCCAGGTTATGCTACTGGGTTGGAGGAACACTGTTGAGAAACCATGGGTGCATGATATGAGGTGGGTTTGGTGACAGGACAGGTCAGTAAAGTAACTGTCTAGCTGCTAGATCATGAAGCATTTCTGAGAGCTTGCTAGCCATCCAGCTGTCGTAGGGTTTTCTTATCCGGCTCTGATTTCTCCCAGAGGGAAAATCATTAATATGATATGAACCTCCATTGCATGATATCATTCGTTGCTGTCTTTTGAGATTGTATCAAAACTTGTTAATCTTTCCCAACCATATGCACATGCACAGCTTTGCTTTATGTCGATCTAATCATTTTTTACCTGACAGAAAATTGATGATGTGATTTTGAGAGAGAAATTTAGCAATTTGGACACAGTCACTGAGGAACTGATTGATCAAACAGTTTCCAGTTTCCTACAACAAGTACAAGATGGCACTTGGGAATCAGGTGGGTGGCCTAAAACATTCACTGACTACTCAGTATCAAAACTTGCAGTGAACACTTACACCAGGCTGGTGGCAAAGATGCTATCTGACAGACCAGAAGGCCAGAAAATTTATATCAACTGTTACTGCCCAGGTTGGGTGAAGACTGCTATGACAGGTTATGCTGGGAATATATCAGCCGAAGAAGGAGCTGACACTGCAGTTTGGCTTGCCTTGCTTCCGGACCTGGCAATAACGGGGAAGTTTTTTGCTGAAAGACGTGAGATAAGCTTCTAAGGTAGTCTGTCTAAAGACTGACAGTTTGCGCAACAGTTAAATTGCTTCATTACAGACTTCATATCCACTAAAGCTATAATGACGGTGCAAATTCTATTGTAATCGACGTTTCTGAACTGCAACTGCAATATGCCGTGAGGGAATACTTGAAGAAGGGAGCCGGCAACATACGGTAGGGATGTAGGCAGATAGGATGGATTTTACAACGAATTTGATGTCAACAAGGGTACGCCACGTGCTTCTGTATCATCGCAAAGCTGAGATTTTTAAAGCACTCTTTGTTCTCAATCTTGTCTAGTTATTGGGATTAAGACTAGATTAAGTTGGGTAGTGACTGTTATGCTAAATGTTTCTTTTATTTACCTATCAATGCAAGTGATTTTCGTAGTGTCATTGAAGAATTTTTGGTATCAAGTTGGGAAATAACACATCTGTGCTCTACTATGTTTCTAAATCCTTGCTTCCAAGATCACTTTAATTTTGATGGTGCGAGTGAAGCATTTCTGTTTTATTTAAGTACCAGAAATAAAAAGATTGTATGCCTATCCAGCAAAGAAGCTTAGCACAACATAGGATTCGTTTGAATATGCTTTTAAAATGACTGAAAGCACTCTTAAAAAAAGTTATTTTTTGATTCCAAAGGCACTTGAAGTGTTTTTTGCAAAAAGCACTAGTTATGTGTTTCTTCCGAGAAGTACTTTAAATGTTTTTTCAAGATTTACTTGCATTTTTACTAAAGATTGATCTAAAAACATTTTCATTAAAAATGTTTTCAGTCATTTTAAAAACATATTCAAACGAGCTCATTATCTTTTTAATGCAAGCGATTATGAAAAAAATGAAAATCAAACAAATCACCTCGGGTTTTAGGGTATGCTTGTAATATTAGCTAAGTTACAAGCCTTTTGTCGGAGAGGTCTTATTTTTTATGTTTACTTCCTTGGAGTGCAATTTCGTTTGCCATTCTCATTATGCACTAGGATTTCACGAATCACGACATAAAAGAATGACATGCATGACGATACCTAGATTCTCATCCTGTTTAAGTCTATATAATCCCAACAGGATCCTCTTCTGATCATTTTGGTGAGGATCTTGAGAATTTGTGAATTATGTTCGTTCATCATATATCGTACAATTAGATTTTATCAAGTATTATTTGTACAGACCCGAAATCCTCACAAAAAAAATTCAACGAGAATCCGAATTCTATGTAATCCATTCTGGATTGTGCATATTGGTCAAGCAGTGAGACTACCCGTTTGCATCAATTTTCGAACCTCCTCTTCTGTATATTAAAGTAATTTTGAATGCTGTCATGTAAAAATAATATATATCCATACGGCATTGTACCTCACACAAATAAAATACATCCATTCCGCATTGTACCTCACGTATGATCGATCACCGTCCGTCATTCTTTCCCGGTTTAATTCACCATGTATGATTTCTTTCAAGTCTCAACCCAGCTTCCATTTGCAAAGCTCCCATGCATGAGCTGCATGGAGTTTTTTCACACTCCAAATTTTTTCCATCTTGCTTAATTACTAAGTTGATTTTTCTTTTTTTCCTTTTTGGCCGGTAAAATTGCACCACGTGAAAATCCTACCAAAATAATAATCAATAAAAATAAGGGATAATTGCTGATTATCCAAAATTCAAATCGACTCAATTTAAAATTTAACGATATTATCACCGGCTCCAAAATAATAGTAAACAAATCCAACTCAAACTCTACTTTAATTTGTTTTAATTTTATTTTTCTATACATACTATAAGTTTGTAAACAACATCTATTTAAGCTGCAATTCAACTATGTTTCTCATCAGCCCCAGGAGCATCAAAAGCGAAGCAACTCTCTTAATACCAATGGAGAATAATCAAAGTATAAGAAGTGGCAGAGCTGTTCTTGTGACTAACAAGGGCAGTGATCTCCACGGTGGACACAGCGGCAGTTACGATTCTTTCTTCAACTCAATCCCACCGGGGTACCGGTTCAAACCCTTGGATGAAGAACCGTGGGTTACTACTTCAGGAGGAAAATTTTGCGAATCTACCGCTGCCTCCAATGGCGGATTCAGGATTTCAAGATCGGGGGTCCCAAGATAAAAGTTTAAAAAAAATATATTAGACTAGTTTGGTTCCATAGCACTATTTTTTTTTTATTGAATTTGGTTCATTGAATAATCAAAATTAATCAACCACATCAAGTGCCCAAGTGGTAAGGGCGCGGATTTCGGCTCTTAAAATACAAAAAACAGGGAGGTCCCGGGTTCGAGGCTCCAAGCTAGTGAGTCTGCTTGACTGTGGCCATGAGAAAGCTGAAATGTCTCTGTGAGTCTTCTAGGCCCCTAGAAGGGGTGGATAACTGTGGCTTACCACTAGTTGTCCCGCTTTAAAAATAATAATAATAATCAAGATTAATCTCAAAGGTAATAAAACCAACAAATTCTCCTCAGCAACATAACACATCAATTAATGACTTTACAAAGATGAGATTTGTTAATGTAATATATATATTACAATTGGGAGTTGAGACTAGAGTCTAGGATTAAAAAACTTAAATGAATTTGGAAGAAATAAAATTAGGCACCTAGAGGTGATGGAACAGCAAATGGTGCTGGGGGATGGGATAACTTGAGTTTAAAGTTGGGAGGTTGCGACGATTTGGAGGATTAAAAGAAAAATTAGAAACCTCTTCTTCTTCTTTGTAAGCACTGCTGCATGCACATCCATGGAGGCTTATTGCCTCTTCGCTGCACCTGCCCAAATTGTTGGAGGGTCCCGAAGGTCGATCATAAGTGTTTCTTCGGGCTTTCGGAGGGTCCGAGGACCACCCGGATCCCTATATGGATCCGTCCATGGCTGCCTCCGAATATTATTAATGAAGTTGAGCTGTACAAATTCAGCCTTGATGCACTAACAGGTCCATTTTAATCCTTGATAACTAATTCGTTTTTAGTTTAAATTAATTTATTTGTGTTTATTTTACAGTATCCTATATTGCATGTGTGTGAATCCAGTCAGGATTTCCAGATTAACATATATTACATGCAATTATTTGTATCTGCATGTGTTTTTGCTTCTTGGAGTATGTAGAATCAGATGAGAGTGCTTTAGAAGAATGTTATCATGGCCGGTTCTAGGGTTAGGAGACTCTTGAAAAAGATTAATATATATATATATGTATGTATGTATATGTATATGTGTGTGTGTGTGTGTATAAATATATATATATATATATATATTTGTACATACTATGTAGAAACCCTAGAAGAAATATAGCAAAAGCAATATCTCATCGTACTGTCGTAGAAACCCTAGAAGAAATTGCGAGAGAGAGAATGGTGGGTGATAAGATTTGTAGCTCAAGTAATTAACATCATTTATCCTTACACTGAAATTTTACGTTCGAATACCTTTTCCCTGCTATTGTTTGTATTGTATCAAAGAATGAAAGAAAGAAAAGTGGTCGAGTGGGTATGGAAACGCAACACTAGGCTCGCCTAGTGGCCTTGTGAAATATACAATCGAGAGCAAGGCTTGATGAGATCCAAACTACCGTTCTTTATTCGAAAGTAGGAACAAAACCCTAAAGCATAATAACGTACTGTGCTTGTTGAATTGTTACAATATCTTGAATTTAGGGTTCAATATATATATAAAGTTTAATTAATATCATTGATTTTGCACATGTTGGATTTGATAGCAACAATAACCTTTTCTCTTTTAATTATTTTTTGTTTGAAATTAGGCATGTAATTCCATGTAGTTCTATTGTTTTTACAATTTGTAAGCCTGTTCAATTTTGTTGATCATGCGCAGCAAAATACAAGCTTGATGGAGAAGATAACACGTGGTACTTTTTCACACCAAGGGATAAAAAAAATAATAGAAAACTTCATTTTAATTTTGGCAAATATGACTTTTTGATTAAAATCATGAGTAAGATCAAAATTTAATTTTAGTCCCTTGATACATTAATAACCTCATTTATTAATTATATTTTGATGTTTTGATTATTTATCTTTTTCTTTCTAATTTTTAATGTATTAATTTTATTTCATTATAATTTATATTTTCATTTCATTCATCGTAGTATATTTTGTTGTGAACATTTAGATAAAATAATTTTTGTTATACAATATATTTCAATGTACTTTATCTTCTTCATTTAGGTATATTAAATTCATTATAATACATTTCGGTGCATACATTTAGGTACACACATTTCGGTACATGCATTTTGATACAAACATTTAGGTATATTAATTCAATATACATTTTCAGTACTAACATTTTGATGTATATATTTAGGTACATACATTTCGGTACTAACATTTAAATATATTAGTTCAATATAATATATTTCGATACTAACATTTAGGTACATTAATTGAGTCTTTCAAGTTTGAAGAATGTTAAATAAACTAGTGATGTCTCTTTCTTCAAAACCCCGACGAGTATCTCTTTCTTCAAAACCCCAACGAGTATCCTCCTCAAAACTCATATGATAATCCTCATCCTCAAAACCCTAATTCTCAATCTTACCTAGTTTATCCTCCTCAAAACCCTAATCATCAATCTTACTTAGTTTGTCGTCCTGAGAACCCTAACCATCAATCTTACATAGTTTATCCTCCTCAAAACCCTAATCATCAATCTTACTTAAATTCTAACCGTAATGGATATTACAGCAGTGATGGATACAACCTCTTTTCCAACACAAATGCCATGGGTAAGTAGACGTATATGCATTTAAATTTTTTTATCTTGAATCTCGTATGATCACCATTTTTTGAGTTCCCTAACCATGTTTTAACTTACAGGTTCTGACGGATTGTTTAAAGAGGAACCATTCCCAACAATCCTTCCGCCACAGGATGATCAACACCTTTACCTTCCAAACCAGAACTCTCTGCAATTTAATGGGTGTCAACTTCACCAACAATTATGGGGCTGATATGCACAAGACAAAGCTATGGCGATTGGCTCATTGGCTACTCTATTTAACGTTCCATAGGTATTATATACTTTCTGGGAATTTAAGATCTAAGTCTCAGTGAGGCCTTTATTTCTCTTGGATTGGAACTGGTGTTTCTTAGTTCTCTATTTTTTTTTTTTTTTTTTGTTTAATTGAAAAACTATCTATTGGATTGTGAAATTTCTATTTCAATAACTGTTTTTATGTTTTTCCTAAAAGAAAAAATAGTTTGGCAACAATTTGTTAGCTATCTTGATGTTTTTGCCTGCTTATTTTATGTTGGTCATATTCAAGGTTCGTTTGAAAGTGCTTTTCAAATAGCTGAAAGCGCTTTTGATGAAATTATTTTTTGAACCAATCCTTAATAAAATACAAGTGAATCATGGAAAATCACTTGCAGTGCTTCTTG